GCATCGCTGGGAAAAAAAGATTAAGATTTACTAATTTACATGCATCTGTGAAAGATGAAACCATAGTAGGCCAAAGATTGAAGAACCTAACCTAACAAGGTTTTTGAAGCTTAAAAATATATAAGTTTATAAAAAATTGATAAAATCACTTTAAATATTATTGCTAATCGTCTAGCAGTACCTATAGAATCTGATGTTAAATGTTAATGACTTAGTATAACGTTAACAACACCCTAGTCTAGATGATCCTATTCTTGTTGCAATTAAGATGTTTCAGTTGGATTGAATGGATATAATGCACCTATATTATCATTACAGTATAATATGTATACTTTTTACACAATACTATACAAAAAAYTTATTAGAATTATTTAGATTAGAAGGTATTTTTGTATTTATTGAGAACCTAGAAATAAAAATTAAATAAATTACATTTTGTCATAATATTATAAATAAAGGCAATTGGAAACCTTGGCAGTTGGTATATATTATGCAATCTCTCACACAGTCACACTTTAAACTTCATTTAATAGTATAAGAACATGTAGTCTATGATTACTTTTCATAATTGTAAATTTAATATAGTACGATTTAAAAACTATAACAGGGATTCTGAACTGTGGTATGCTCATCCCTTGGGGGTACTTGAAATTTTTTAAGGGGTACAAATGGTACAAGTCAGTGTTGGAATTGGAGAGAAATATAAACAACTGTCTAGCACTGCTGTCAAAATTCTTGTTGGGTTTTTTCGACCACTTATTTATGTGAAAAAGGTTTTTCAAGTTTAACTTAAGTTAAAAGTAAATATAGAAACAAATTAAATGTTGAAGATAATTTAAGATTTTATTTAACTAAATTATAACTCTATAATATTGATCAACTGTGTCAAAAAAAAAAAACAAGCTCACCCTTCTCACTAATTTCTTTGAAAGTAAGTGCTTTTAGTTTTTAAAATTGTTTATGTATTAGTTTTTAATAACTTAATCTTAAATGTATGCAAGTCTTTACATTTCTTTATATATACCTATTTTAGTTTAGTAACTAAGAAGGAGCAGCCAAAAAATATTATTACTAAAAAGATGTACAGTGTTCATAAAAGTTTGAGATTACATATTATGCTTTAAATAATTTAAGCTATAGAATAAGTCACAAATACTACATAATATGTGTATAGGTATTAGCTACTAGTGATGGGAATTATTCGAATAGGTCTGTCGTAAATAATTTGAATATTCGAACATTCAAATATCAGTATTCGATGCTACAATACAATACATAACGAACATTATTCGTTTAAGTTTTTGCGCAACACAAAATGTTTAATAATAATATTATAATATGGTGCATAAAGGCCTACGAGAAGTGGATTCGAAACCAGAGATTTGAYAGGGCAATTTATTAAAATACAAAAATAAAAATTGTACAAAATACTGGAATATCATAATTAAATTATTATTGATAATAATGTATAAGTTATAAAAAAAAAAATTATAAATAAATGGTAACTACGAACAGGTACCCGCAAGATAAGAACATTTTTTCGTATTTAGGATGATTATCATTGACATACATTATCTTTAGTTGTGTAGATATGAATTAGTTATTAATAATAATTAATAAATAGTGTAAAAAGCTTGCCATGGAAAAATGGATAAAACAAATGAGGCATTGTAGTATCGAATACTGATATTCGAATATTGAATATTTGAATATACATTACATTACTGATAGGTACAATATGTCATAATATACAAATGCAACCAAACATTATCTAAGAATGAATATAATTGGATAAGGTACTAATTGGAAATGAAGTAACAACTAATTAATWGTGAGCTCCTAATATTTATTACAAAAACTTATAAATATTTGTATGTATGGTTTTAATTTTCACAAGCATAGAAATTGAGTATAAAAATACAATTATTCATAAAATATATTACACCCCTTTTCTTTTTTGTGTACTAATATATAGTACATTGTTTCCACGAATAAAAGAGTCTCCGAATTTGTTTTTAAGTTCTCCATTTATGTATTCTTCTGTTTGTTCGAGAGCAATATTCATGTAACCATCTATGCAAGCCATTACACCTAATAAATTTCATTAAATACAATATAATATACACCTATATATAATTACTTATTAATCAGTTCATACCAGTGGCCAGTCTTTAAAGATTAATATAACAGTTAAAAGAAATTTACATTCATCTATCTATAAATGTGAGGGCGATTTTAAACAATATAGGTTTTATAACTTCTATATCGTAGGAACCCACATGTTTAAACATTATGTCTTTTAAACACTGCAATGGTGCAATCCATTTAGATACTCAACTTTCCAAAAATAATAAATCTATTGTGGTAATTTTTATAGACAAATATAGAGTTTGYTGCCACTCAGCCACTGGCATAAGCACAATAAATTATATATTAGTTATATGGTTCATAAACATATGAATTAAAATTAAAAACATCTATATTTAACACTTATTAGTTACATACTTATATCCACATCGCACATAATCATATGTATATTAATTGTTTGGACCTATTGCAGTATTAAATAGTTTAAATKTTGAGAACAATATCGTTCTGTGACTGTATAGTAATTTAAAGGCAGTATAATAGTAACTGAATTGTTTAGGAAGCAAGGTTGTGTYTAACTAATTCTTAAGATTAATTCTACAAATAATCCGAAATTTTAGCATAAGATAAAAATGTGGGTATAAATATAAAAATAAAAATAAATTTTTGAATTGTGAAAAAATACCTCTGTAATCGACTCCACTATTCAATTTCACAACAACCGGACGACCATGAATTTGTTGTATAAATTGTGTTAATGCTTCTTTGCGACTCATTTTTTGGATAAGTTACTAGAGAAAATAATAATAATAATTAAACCTATAAAATACGGTTTTTATAGAATATTGAAATATTAAGTAAACAACTTTTACCCGTTTTAGAGAGATAAATTATATGAACGAATTATTCAATAAATAAATAATTGTAGATTAAATGTGATTTAAAATAATTAATTTAATTTAGTTATTTACTACCAGATAATCAATATAAATTCTAAATACTTAAATACAAATACCGTTTAAAACAATTTTGCAGAAAAGCCGACAAATCAATAAATTTAATTTCCTGTACCTAACCTGTAATCATTATTTTGTATAGCCGACGAACACGGGTATTATCAGTTATATTATTTGTTATTATCTATGACAAAAAAGTGCACAACAGTGCTGGCCACATTGCAGTATTAAATAATGTCTCAAAGATCATAATAATAATAACAATAATAATAGCAATAATAATAACAATAATAATAGCAATAATAATAATAGTTATAATAATTATATTATAATAATAACAATAAAATAATAATAATAATATTGTAAACATTAATGATGTTAACATTTTGTTTAGTTTCGAATTTCGAATTTCATAAATATGTATGTGGTATGTCAAAGTCAAATCGGCAGTCCAGCTCACGAAAGTATAAATCTAGTTTTTCCCTGATATATTGCTATATTAAATTCTTTAATGCTAAAATATAATCTATTTAATCCATAATGTGGTATGCTGGTATCTATAGATGACATAGATATACGTTCCATAAATTAAGCTATATATAATTATAGGTACATCTTAATTCGTTGGACGTACTACGTTAAGGCTTTATATTTTCTACAGTGTCCTAACTACGTCTCTACATGGAAACAATTGGCAACGTTAACTTCAGTAGGCGGTAAGCGTCTACTTTCGATTAATAAWWTTATGGTCTCGATAACTGGATGCCAATTCTACTTGGCATCATCCAGTTATCAATGCCAATTGCGGTAAAACCCGATTGAGCAGATATTGTTTGGATTTTAGATAGTGGCTACTAGAGTACTAGGTACCTATTAAGAGTGGTTTCTACTTTCTAGTAACAAATCAAGAAATTGAAGAAATACGCGTACTACTTACTCATACCTGCGTTTTTAAGAGGACGCTACCCTCGTATGTGTTATCTCCGTCTTATACAAGTATACCTACGTAATATCGCAAATTTTACTCTCGGCAGATCGTGTTTAGTTTAAAATTTAGAGTGAATTGACTTCTTACAAAAATCAAAGGTATTATCGAGGGCTTCTCATAGGCTTTTTATTATATTTTAATTTTAAAGCTAGTTATGATGTGTATTTTAAATTTGTAAATTGTCAATATATCTTAAAATACTCATAACTCACTTTAAAATTAAAATATAATAAAAATCCTACGATAATAATGTTACCTTTAATTTTTTTAAGAGGTCAGTTCACTCTAAATTTTAAACTAACGGAGCTAAACGTGATCTGCTGAGCGTAAAATTTGCTCTATTACGCGCTTGTAAGACGAAGACAACATAAGCGGGTGAGCGTCCTCTTAAGTTACCCACTAACGCGTAGTACCTAGTTGGTTAGTTTCCAGAGAGGCGCATAGTAGTTGCCTTTAGAAGTTAAAAATATCGATAATTTATTGTTATACTAAATGTCTCCCGGGCGTACTCTATATTTTATCGTAAATTAGAATAGTCTAGAACTAGTTGCATCCCAATATTGATTATTTTATGATAATAAGTGGTTGGTTCCTAAAACAATTAAAAATTTTTAAATAAATATAATAATAATATAATATTTATAAACCCATTKGCGTAATTTTGTTGGTATTTATTTAAAATTATTAAACGAGAACGAAGAATTCAGGTTGGTTATATAATGGACACATTATATAGACTATTTTATGCGTATAAAGTCTTCCTATATATTATATATTATGTATTGATACTTTATATAGATACAAATACATATTATATTAATATTTGAAGACATTTTTAAGTCTGTAAAACTAACATATTCATCGCATATTTGAACGATTTAYCATTTGTAATTCGTGAAGTATACAATATACGATACTCATAATATAAATGAGCACGTACTGAATTTTATAAACTGTATAAGCCTACTCAAAATGTTCAAATATATAAGGCGTATATATATATATATGATTAGTGAAAATCATGTACCTAGGTTCTTATAAGCACGCGATGATAATCCGATTGCAATACAACAATCAATATAGCAATTTCTAAAGTCTAATCCACATTATCAATACGTTGATTTAAAACGACGGTTGGTATTACATTCAATGTAGATACACCGCTGTGAAATATTAATAAAAATGGAATTATAATATATACATTCGTTTTCTGTTGACGTAATGGCGCCTCTTTTCAGATTGTACGTAGGTATATAAAATATTACATGCATGCAATAGTATACATACTTTTTGCATTATATATACATATATATATATATTATTGATATTAATGACATATATATATATATATATGTATTTAAATCATTCATATTTTATCATCATGGGTTTTCATTTGAACGTAAGAGTAGGTACATTCTACATAATAAGTAAGTACAAATAATACAAACTTAACTAATATATTTTATAGTTTCAAGTTCGGTACTTGGAAAATTATTATCCTCTGTCACCAAGAACGTATACAGAATCGAGAGGGAGTTTTTTGGTTGATATTTATACTTAATTTAAAAAATGTTTTTTTTTCAGTTATACCTTAGTTATTTATTAATAATAATGTCTACTGCTAACATTAATTTACTCATATAGCCGATGTTTATATAATATTGAAGTACTATAAGTAGTATAAGTAGTATCAATTTGATACTATCAAAAGTGTACTCTTAAAATGTTTTGGATTTCAATGTGTTAAAAAAAATTTTTTTT